TACATAAAAAAAGCTGTTCTTCCCACTCCAAATATGTTGGGAGGAGATGCTGGAAGGGGCAGCCAGAAGGAACAGGTTTTCCCCAGGAAGCTGGGGAAGTCCACAGGGATTTGAAACAACATGGAGCCAAATCTCCAGAACAGAACTCGGTATTTCTTTCGAGGGAGGAGCGGTAATTCCGTGGGGTGTGGGAATTCCCAGCCAAGCAGAAGGAAATCAACTCAGCCCCCACGCTGCCTCAGCTCCTGGTTTGCCCAAATCCGACTCCAAGGACAAATCCTGGCTGGTTCAGGGGGTCAGACTGAGCTTTACGGGGTTTGGTTCTCTAGAGTTGGGATAAAAAGGAACAGGGATCCCATGGAGAGCTGCAATCCCTGACCCTGGAATGGGGATCCCTGGAATGGGGATGCCATGGAGAGCTGCAATCCCTGATCCTGGAATGGGGATCCCTGGAATGGGGATCCCATGGAGAGCTGTAATCCCTGATCATGAAATGGGGATCCCATGGAGAGCTGCAATCCCTGGAATGGGGATCCTATGGAGAACTGCAATCCCTGATCCTGGAATGGGGATCCCATGGAGAGCTAAAATCTCTAATTCTGGGATGGGGATTCCATGGAGAGCTGCAATCCCTGATCCTGGAATGGGGATCCCTGGAATGGGGATCCTGGAATGGGGATCCCATGGAATGGGGATGCCATGGAGAGCTGCAATCCCTGGAATGGGGATCCCATGGAGAGCTGCAATCCCTGATCCTGGGGATCCCATGGAGAGCTGCAATCCCTGGAATGGGGATCCCATGGAGAGCTGCAACCCCTGATCCTGGAATGGGGATCCCTGGAATGGGGATCCCATGGAGAGCTGCAATCCCTGGAATGGAGATCCCAAACACTCTTCACCCCAACTAAACTCCCCAGATCTTTCCAAAGGGAAAGTCCCAGGCTTTTTTCCAAATTAGAGGAAAAAACAAATTCTCCTGCCTGTCTGCCAGGAGTTTGTTTTATAATAAAAAGGGGGAGAAATTTTGGGTTTTACTGGAAGGAGCAGCTGCAAACTTCTCCTTGAGAGAAGAGCTGATTTGGGTTTGGGATTTTCTCAGAGAGGAGCAGATTTGGGTTTTTTTTGGGGGGGTTTAGAAACACTTTGCTCTTGGAAAAGGAGCAGATGGGTTTTGGGGGGATTTTAGAAACCTTTGCTCTAGGGGAGCCAAAGCAAAGCTCCTCTAAGCCAGGACCAGACAAACTCCTCACTCCATTTTCCCGGGAAATTACNAGTCGCGGAGGAGACGTCGCCGGGGCTGAGGGATCGCGTGAGGGTGAGCGGGGCCCGGGCACCACCCCCCCCCACCCCCAGCGCCCAGCGGGACGTCGGGGACAGCCTTTCGGGTTCCCCCTGTGTCTGGTTGGGCTTTGAGGCGTGGCTTAGAAGCCCCTCGGAGAGGGGGTTAGGGTCCCGTTATGTCTGTTCGAGCTCTGAGGGTGGGTTTAGGGGGCTTCCCCGTGTCTCTTTGGCCCTTCAGCGTAGGGTTAAGGGTCTCTCAGGGGGCTTTCGAGGCTTCTTGCGTGTGTGTTTGGGTTTTCGGGGCAGAATTTAGGGGGTCTGTCTCTTGGAAAAGGGGTTAGGGTCCCTTCGTGTCTGTTTAGGCCCTCAGGCGGGGCTTAGGCCCCCTTCCATGTCTATTTGGCGTCTTAGGGCAGGGTTAGGGGGCCCCCAAGTTTATTCGGGTAGGGTTTGAGGTCCCTATGTGAGCCCTTAGGAAGCGTTTGGGATTCCCCCGTGTGTGCTGGGCCCTCAGGGAAGGTTGGGATCCCCTGCAGCGGTGCTTGGGGTGAAATTTGGGATTCCCCGAGTGTGCTGGGGCCTTTGGGGCCGGCGGGTTTGGGGTCCCTATGTGTGGGCTGTGTCAAGGACGGGGGATGGTGCTGTGTGCTGGGGACCTTTATTCCTTCAGCTCTGCGGTAAAGGGAGCTGGGCTGTGCAGGGGGGGTTCCCTCAGATCCCGGGGAAAGGAGTGAGAATTGCGGAATGCCCGGTGTTGGAAGAACCTTAAGGGTGTTTTCATTCCAACCCCGCTCTGCTGGTGGGGCCACCTCCCACAGGGCCCTGCTTGTTCTCTCGGGGTCTGCTTTTATTTATTTCTTTATTATATTTCTTATTTCTTTATTTTATTTCTTTTTTCCTTAATTTTATACTTTTTCTTTATATAATTTCTTTATATATATAATTTCTTTCTTTCTTTATATTTATTTCTGAGTGCATTTTGAGGGAATAAATAGGTTCTTTATCTCCCTGCCTTGCCCTGCAGACCCCTCAGAGCCCAATTTACACCTTCCCCGCTCCGTCCCCCTCCCTGGGGCCAGGTCCCCGCTCCGTCCCCCTCCCTGGGGCCAGGTCCCCGCTCCGTCCCCCTCCCTGGGGCCAGGTCCCCGCTCCGTCCCCCACATGCAGGCAGTGACACCCCGCTGTCCCTGTGCCTGCAGGCCGGGTGGGATGGCGGACG